GGCTAATTTTGTATTTTTAGTAGAGACAGTGTTTCTCCTTGTTGGCAGGCTGATCTCGAATTTCCGACCTCAGGTGATCTGCCTGCCCCAGCCTCCCAAAGTGCTGGGATTACAGGCATGAGCCACCGTGCCCAGCCCTTGACTTTTAAATAATAGGCATTCTGACTGGTGTGAGATGCTGTCTCATTATAGTTTTGATTTGCATTCCTCTAATGATACTGATCTTTAACAAGATGCATATATGTCTTGTTGTCTGCATATGTGTCTTCTTTTGAAAAGTGTCTGTTCATGTCCTTTGCCCACTTTTTAATGAAGTTGTTTTTCTCCTGCAAATTTTTAAGTTCCTTGTAGATGCTGGATATTAGACCTTTGTCAGATACATAGTTTGCAAGTATTTCCTTCCATCCTGTAGGCTGTCCGTTTACTTTGTTGATAGTTTCTTTTGCTATGCAGAAGCTCTTAAGTTCCATGTATCAACATTTGTTTTTGTTGCGATTGTTTTTGGTGTCTTTGTCATGAAATCTGCCTGTTCCAATGTCCCTAATGGTACTGCCTAGGTTGTCTTCTAAGATTGTTATCATTTTAGGTTTTACATTTAAGTTTTTAATCAATCTTGAGTCTATTTTTATATATGGTGTAAGGAAGGGGTCCAGCTTTAATCTTCTGCATATAGCAAGCCAGTTATTCCAGCACCATTTATTGAATAGGAAGTCTTTGCCATTTCTTGTTTTTGTCAGCCTTGTTAAAGACCTCATAGCTATAGGTGTGTGGCCTTATTTCTGGGCTCTCTTTGCTGGTCCATGTGTCTGTTGCACCATATTGTTTTGGTTACTGTAGCCCTGTAGTATAATTTGAAGTGAGGTAACATGATGCCTCTAGCTTTGTTCTTTTTGCTTAGGGTTGCTTTGGCCATTCAGGCTATTTTCTGATTTCACATGAACTTTAAAATAGTGTTTTCTAGTTCTGTGAAGATCATTGGTAGTTTAACAGGGATAGCATTTAATCTAAATTTCTTTGAGCAGTATGGCCATATTAATGATACCGATTCTTTCTATCCATGAGCATGGGATGTTTTACCATTTGTTTGTGTTTTCTTTGAGCAGTGTTTTGTAATTCTCATTGTAGAGATCTTTCACCTTCCCACATTACTTCTTTTACTTTAAACCACTAAACCACATAATAAATGGGTCCTCTTTAGATGATTTTTTAAATGATCTAGAGGAAATATAATTCAATTCTGTTTTCATCCTCTGGAGATCCTTATTTAATACTGTTTGTTACAGCATAGAATAGGTGTAAATGGCAGATTTATGTTAGGTCTCATCTAGGTGCATTTGTTCTAAAGAACTGATGCCATTTTAAAGCTACTTAAGACTATTTCACATACATAGTGGACTCTTAAGCCTGGAAATTGCATTTGCTTTATGGCATCATTGATACAATCATAAGGGCCTTGTGTCTTATTCCAGAATTCCGTGTGTTATAACACTCATCTAGGTGCCCCATGTGGAAATGTCGTGACCTCTTTGGCCCTCTACTTAAATAACAGGATAACTAGCTGGTCTTAGTTTCTGGATTTATTGTTACGTGTGCTGTTGTTATTGGTAGCTGTGCTTTTGACATTTATTATAGTCCTTGGGATTGTCAGATATATAGGTGGGCTGATTTCTGGTGTGTAAGGATTTGCTTGTAGCTGGTAAATTTTACTACATGTTAAAATTCCAAACGAGATGTGAACATTTAGAGGTAATGCGTGGCTAGTCTCTTCCCTGAAACTTCTCTGTTAAACCAGCGAATTGTGCTTTTTTTTCAAGAACAATCTGTCACAACTTGGGAAAACTATGGAATTTAATGATTGGTTTTAATTAGCATTATTAAAAAACAAACTTGAAATTTTTTCTTTCACTATGATAAATGTAGCTGTAGTTTACATCTCTAAAATTCTAATGAGCCAGTACCATTCTTGGTAAAGTGTTAAGTTACACCAAATTGTCAACATCTAGCCTTTTCTTTTTTATCTACAAAGCAGCAGTTACATATGGTTTAACCCAACCCTATTTATTCATTGAGTTCTGGTGCTATAAGAATTAGGAAGATAAGTAGCTATACTCAACCCTGAAAAGAGGTTATGTAACCCAGTACTCTTCACAGAAAGATTTGGTCAGGATTATCATGACTTACCTAGTTTATTATGATGGGAAAGGGTGCTAAGCACTTTAGAGAATGAGGCTAGTTGAAAGGAGGTTATTGATTAATCATAAATTCACTGAAAAACTTTCATTTCCTGAGCATTCCACATAATCATGATATTGGCAATAGTTTAGTAGGCAGCCTTCATTTGTGATGCACTTTGCCTTCATTCACTTAGCATCTGTTACTAAGTACCCACTTTTGTAATAGGCATCATGCTAGGCTTGGGGCTGTGATGATGAGCCAAACAGCCATGGGCCCAGCCGTCACAGAGCTCACATTTTAGTGGGAGGAGATATACCTTCATCAGGTAATCCCACGCGTGTGTACGTGACAGCTCCGACAGGTGTTCCAAAGAAATGTTTGCTTCCAGACTATTTCTGTATGTTACTAAGTATTTGCAGAAAAGAGGACCATAGCGTCCCTATTCTTTTATAGCTGCATTTAAAAATTCATATTCCATGAAGGCCAGGCATGATGGTTCATGCCTGTAATTGCAGCATTTGGGAGGCCAAGATGGAAGGATGGCTTGAACCCAGGAGTTTGAGAACAGCCTGGGCAACATGAAAATACCTCATTTGTATGAAAAATTTAAAAATTGGCTGGGCATGGTGACATATGCCTATAGTCTCAGCTACTTGGAAGGCTCAGGTGGGAGAATTGCTTGAGCCCAGGAGGTCAAGGCTACAGTGAGCTTTGTTCATGCCACTCCAGCCAGAGCAACAGAATGAGACCCTGTCTCAAAAGAAAGAAAAACTTTTTATATTAATACTTTCCATCAATTACCTCTAATCATAGCACAGTATCCCATTATATTTAACCACTTAAATTTTTTCTACTTTTTGTCCTCTTATAAATAATGCTTAAAAATATGTGTGTTTGGGAAGCATATTAGTTAGGTTGTGCTAAACGACTGAAATCATGGATCCAAAATATAATCATATAAACACAGTATAAGTGCCTGTTTTTCACAGAACTGTTCAGTGTGAATGTTCTAGGAGGGGTCTTCTGCAGTCCAGAGAGGCTGATGTTGGCTCTGTCACTTCCAGCTTGTGGCCTTCTGGTAGCTCTGCTTCTGCTCTTGGTTATCACCACCACCGTCTGCAGGGAGGTGGGGGCCTGGGGTTTGATGGGTCTAAGTGATTTTCTAACATAGTTCCATGGCCTGTTTTGTTTTATTTGTTTTCTTGTCCCTGTGGCTCTCTTCTAACTCCTAGGAACTGTCTTGAAGCCACTGAACTAATGGGCTTGGGCAGGAAGACAGCACCTTTAATCTGATTTTCGTAGACTGCTAGCTCCCTCATTTGCATTTGCTGGGAAACCTTTGTAATTCAAGCAGTCTGCAAAACCACTACCTGCTTCTATATGCTTGCACACTAAAAATGGTTTTTACAGTTTTTGATCCTTGAGACAAAAAAGTATTTTGTAACACGTAAAAATTATATGAAATCAGAAGTTTCATTGTTCATATAATTTTATTGGAACACAACCACACTTATTCATTTATGTATTGTCTATAGCTGCTTTTATGCTACAAGAGAGCTGAGTAGCAACAAAAATTGTATAGCTCACAAAATCTAAACTATTTATTGTTTGACCTATTAGAGGAAAACTTTGCTAGAGCCCTGGTTTCAAGAACTGTTCATACTTACCTCTTGTTATGTGGAGCATAGAAGGTTTTTTCAATCTTAGGAGAGCCTTATTTCTAGACATTGTCTACTCCCTTTTGCAACTGTCTACAAACCAGCTGATTCTTTCCAGAGTTCAGCACTCACAAAACTGTGCTAAAAATCGTGGTACATGCTATCATCTGCCTTTTCTTGGCCATTTTGCTTAGTTTTGGTAGGCACGTATTCTTTTTTCTGAGTTGTCACATGCTTGATTTCACTGACTTCCATCACAGCATGACAGGGACTTCTAGCTTTCTGGCCTGTAACCTCTGTTTCCTCTCCACTTAATGCCATGTATTTTAGATTGAAGGCAGCACCCTTATTCTAGGTGACACTTAAGGTATTAGTAGTAGTCTTTGCTGCAAGTCATAGACCTAAAGTGTAATTAGGGCTTCATATTTCTCTAAAATGACAATCCAGTGTGGCTGCTGAGAGTTTGACAGTGGTAGGGACAGTGGGATGGGAAGTACATGGTGTCCTTTGTAGTTATTTAGGAACCCGCCTGACAGTTCTGCTATTTCGATGTTTAGCTTCCAGTGTCACTCTGGACTTGGTCATTGCCATCCTATCTCATGGGAAGTGGAAAAGGCCTGGAGAAGGATGCAGAGTGAGATATATGGCCCCTTGCATGTCTGTTTACATTCCGCTGGAAAGAACTAGTCACGGGCTGCCCCTTACTATAGAGGAAGCAGAGGAAATGGTGTAGCTGGGCATATACCACATGGGGAGGGAGGAACAGAGTTTGATGGCCAGCAAGCATTCTGCTTACATGCTTTCTTGTATTTCCTAAAGAAAGTAGGCTGAGTTGTGAAAAGTTTACTGGTGGAGTAGATTTATTTACAGAAAAATATCTATGCAAATTTAGTTTTAAAATGCACCTCTCCAAATAAATTGTGTGTGAATAAAATATGTATGTTTTCAGGCTATTGCACATTATGAACAATCTGCTGATTATTACAAAGGAGAAGAATCCAACAGGCAAGTATTACTTTTCTTAATATAATTTAATAGGCTTTATTATGTGTGATAAAAGATACTTCTTCATTCTCTGTGAGTGTATTTGACTATACCAAATGAAGATGTACTAAGGCCCAACACACATCTTTTATTTTTCCATTGGCTTGTTATTCACTCTGCTTTTGTTCTTGATTTCAGCTCAGCAAACAAGTGTCTGCTGAAGGTGGCAGCATATGCTGCCCAGCTTGAGCAGTACCAGAAAGCCATCGAGATCTATGAGCAGGTGAGGATATCGTTGTTTTCTCGGAGAGAAATTTTCTGAGTCATTTCTTTAAGCTTTTTATTTTTCTTTTTATTGAGATATAATCCACACATCATGTAATGAGTATAGTTCAGTGGTTTTTAGTCTATTCACAAAGTTGTGTAACTGTCATTACCACCTAATTCCAGAACAGTTTCAGCATCCCCAGAACAAGCCTAGCAGTCCATTCTCTCCTTCCAGTCCCTGGAAGACACAACCTACTTTCTGACTATATGGATTTGTCGGTTCTGAACCTTGAATATATATGAAATCAAATACAAGGTGGCCTTTTGTGACTGCCCTCTTTCACTTAGTGTATTGCTTTCAGGGTTCATCTGTGTCATCGTAAATGGCAGTATGTCATTGTTTTTCATGGCTGAGTAATACCTCCTTGTTTATTTATTAATTTATGGATGTTTGGGGTTTTTCCACTTTGGGGTTATTATCAATAATGCTGCTGTGAACATTTGTGTTAAAGTTTTTGTGGGGGTGTTTTCAGTTCTCTTAGTTATATACCTGGGAATAGAATTGCAATTGCTGGGCCATGTGGTAAGTCCATGTTTAACTTTTTGAGGAACTGCCAGACTTTTTCACAATGGCTACATCATTACACCTTCCCACCAACAATGCACAGGGTTTCAATTTCTCCAC